GAAAACATTTCCGAACGGAGAAGTTCCGCCCGGAGGCGCCACGTGGACGACGGCGTCGGCAGACTTTGTGGCAGAAGAAGCGCTGATCAGTCTCCAGTTGGTGAGAAAACTTGCACGCCGCTGCGAACACCGGCAAGGAGACATACGGTGGGCATATGTTTCCAACACGGGTCGTTCAGGATGGCCGTGAGGTTAGCAAGGATTGCCGTACCGGCGGGGATGACGTAGCCTCCTAGCTGTAACTCGGTGGTCGTTCTGTGTGGCACGCTCAGAGGAATAATGTCCGCTAGAAACAAGAAAGAAACTCGCGGATGGCATTCTCTCAGAGTATCTAGACGTTTAGTAGTGTTGCTCGCCTAGTTATGCTGTGCGAAAAAAACCTGCCAAGTATTATCAAACAATATTTGTGTCACACCTAATTAGGCCTACTATCTACTGACCACGCTAGCTTTCTGTCTCACCTACTCTCTGCACTTCGGCTATTGTCGCCCGCGTGTACGGCATGTTGTCTTGGTCCGCCATGCAAGGTAGCCTTCCTCGTCCGATGACGTCATCGATCTCGGCCTGAACTCTCCGTAGGACGTGAGGGTATTTGAGCATAAAGAGCAGACCCCAGCGTAGCGTCGTCATGACGGTGTGCGATCCGGCGAGAAACAGATCGCGTACTGAGACGAGCAGCTGAAAACCTATAAGATGAAGCCGTCATACGTAAGCGTGTGTCTGTCGACTCCTTCGCGTATTATATAATTAATGTAACCTCATTCATTCTTGTCATATGCGCGTGTAAGTGCTTGCGTGCGTGCGTGCGTGCGTGCGTGCGCGCGCGTGTGTGTTTGTGCTTGTGTGCGTGTATATGGGGACGTGCATTTGTGCGTGCGTGCGAAGGTGCTTTTCTAAAGAATGTGTTTGTGTGTGTGCGTGTGCGTGTGCGTATGCGTGTGCGCGCATGTGTGTGTTCGTGAGTGTGGGTGTGTGCGTGCGTGTTCGTGCAACGCTTGACTCACTAGTGAATGTTGAATCTGTCCCCGCCCGCTGCCGCTGCGCTAGCAGGTATGCGTCTAAGTAATCTCTCACGTCTCCCTCTTTCTCCGGCGCCTGTTCTTCGTGCTCGCCTATGTTACTCTGCAGCTCCTTGTTCACTCCTAAGAACGCCGCGTCCAGCTCTCTCAGCATGCGGCTGAAGACCGGCAGGTGTCGCAGCACAGGGTAGAAGTTAAGCATGCCCTGTTTATGCAACACATACCGCGTATCAACGTCCGCGCGTAGGTAACGGACAACTTTTTTTCCGGGATTCTTTTGTTTTTCAGGGGCGGTCTAACGGCGCCTTTTCCTGACAACGGGTATTCGTAGGAATAACGCAAAGCTATTTTTCATTATGAATTTCCGGCAAATTTCCGTGACTTAAATGAACCCATTTCTTCAACCGCGAGGTCTTAGTCGATTATAACTTGACAAACGGCAAAATATCCTAATTATAAATTTAAATCGATAATTAATGACAAAAAATGTAGTGAAATCAGTACCAAATCGCTGTCTTACTCCTTTGTCATTATACGCTCCTGATGATATTATTTTGAGGAAATTTTTCAAGTTTTCAGTAGCGATGATGATGATGATAATAATAATAATAATAATAATAATAATGATGATTACGTTAATTAATAATTATGATAGCGGGGGAGTAGTCTGCCGTGTCGTGATATGGTAAAACACACCCTGGTCATGTAAAACATGTACGACGGTGTATTAAACATCAATTTAGTTCCAATTATGTAAAAAAATAAAAATTGAAAGTTGGCGGGTTTCAGGGCATCGCCCAATCAGCACCCCTCGAAAACAATAACCTAGCAGGGGTCCCCAACCACGATCACCGCTGCAGTCTTTTGACGGGTGACGTCACTGTATTCTCCGGTCGGCATATGTTTTCATGAAACAGAGTATCCGCGTGACGTCAGTGTACGTCACGCACGAACTCGGCTATCTCCGAAGTTGAATGCATACAGCCTTCTGATGGTGCTGGTGATAGCGCATATCAACTTCCGCATCAGACTTTCCGTATATCAAGGAATAATGCAAAAAACCTAACCCTAACCCAAACCCTAACCCTAACACTAACACTAACACTAACTATAAACCGACTCGGCTATCTTGTATACGCATGTCATAGCACCAAACACTATCTATGGTGTATAGATAGCCACTGACGTCACACTGACGTACACTGACGTCACGCGGATACTCTTTTCTATGGAAACATATGCCCACCGTATTCTCCTTGCCCTGGTGTCGCAGCGGCCGTGCAAGTAATCTCACCAATGGAGAACGGGATCAGCGCTTCTTTCTGCACAAAGTCTCCACGCTCGTCCAGGTGGCGCTCCGGGCGGAACTTCTCCGGTTCGGAAAAGTGTTTCGGGTCGTTCAGGATGGCCGTGAGGTTAGCAAGGATCGCCGTACCGGCGGGGATGACGTAGCCTCTTAGCTGTAACTCGGTGGTCGTTCTGTGTGGCACGCTCAGAGGAATAATGTCCGCTAGAAACAAGAAAGAAACTCGCGGATGGCGTTCTCTCAGAGTATCTAGACGTTGAGTAGTGTCGCTCGCCTAGTTATGCTGTGCGAAAGAAACCTGCCAAGTATTATCAAACAATATTTGTGTCACACCTAATCAGGCCTACTATCTATGAATGCCACCTACTGACCACGCTAGCTTTCTGTCTCACCTACCTCGTGCACTTCGGCTAGTTGTCGCCGCGCGTGTATGGCTATGTTGTCCTTGGTCGCAGATGCAAGGTAGCCTTCCTCGTCCGATGACGTCATTCATCTCGCCATTGAACTCTCGCGTAGGACGTGAGGTATTGAGGCATAAAGAGCAGACGCCTCAGCGTAGCGTGTCGTCATGGACGGTGTGGGCGAATCCGGCGA